GATCAGACAAGTTTAAGTCAGCGTAAAGCGAAAAAGTTCTTAGAAATTATATGGACGTAATAAAATTTTAATCGTCAGTAAACAAGGTCACCTGTTACGTCGCATGTTAGTTCTGGGAACATTTTCGTTTCGCGCTGACTTCGACTTGTCTGTTCCACCTACAATGTATTTTCCCTATGTATAACTTGCAAATGAAGGTACGGTATACTGTTATTAGTATAGTGTTTAGGTATGACCACACCATTAAAAAAACCTAATTAATATTAATATAATTTAAGTAAAATAATAGTTTACCGAACGCGTTATTTTGATGTGATGTAATTTGGGCAATATGTAGCATTATAATCATGATCACAAATTTTGTTTAAAGCCCACCAGGACAAATGCAATATTGTTAAATACAAACCGATAACAATATTTATTTTTTACAAAATAGGAATTAAGTACAATAGTAATAATATTGTTAAGAATTATTCAAATTTTTATTTTTTACATAAAGCAAAGCAAACTAGGTAAGTATAACGCCATTGACCTATTAAGCTTAAAGAAAAACACAACACCCAAGGCCTTTCAAGGCTGCGGCAAGAATTCATACCCAGCATTTTCTGATGTTACTTTTAATTGCTAAGTGACGCAATTATCTTCCTTACGTTAATTAATACATCACGCTTCTTAAAACAAACTTGTTTTTTCTACTCCCACCTTTAAAACGCCCTTTATCGTACATGTTTCCATGACCTTTTAAATACACATTGACAAGTTGTGGCTTTATGGTGCTTTAGTCACGGGCTGTAGTTAGCAACAGGTTTTTAGTCACGGGCTGAAGTTAGTTTTAAGTTAGTTGACAGTTGTCAAATGTCATACAATCGTTAAAGTGCCTTTCTTGTAAAATAATACTAAATGTGAAAATTATTTTATTATCTCAATACAAAAATACAAAAGTATTAAATAGTTTTTCAACGCCAATATTTGAAAAGTTTATATGAACATTGTACTGACCTTTTAATTTCGCCGGCAGTAAACTATAACTTAAATTCGGGCACGGACTCCACTGTAAAGTCCTCATAAAACATTTTCTTTACTTTCACTGTGAAAAACTGACAATTTTCAAGAAATACATTTCGATTTATAACCTTTATAATTTGAGTTTATAAAATTTAAAAATGTGACATTTGACGGTATACAGATTGCCCTATTGTTTCATAGATGGCGCTCTATACAAATTTTTGACAAATCATTTTAAGATAATAATAAGTATTTGTCGTAGAAAAAGTATAGTAAAAATTATTTAATTATCTACTAATTGAAGTAGATAAAGTGTAGTATTATCTTCAGTATGATAATATACTATTATCATTTTTTTTTAAATTCGTAGACAAATATTTGATAACTTCATTTTATAAAAGAAACCTTTTTGAAATTTAAATATTTAATATTAATAAATCGTAACATAAAAATCCTTAAATCCATCAAACCGAAACTTAAATAAGTTTAATAGTAGTCCGCGATTTAAAAAATGTTTCGCCAATAAAACCGAGCGTAATGTCAAGGAAAGTTTAAAGAATTGAATCGGGGAAAACTTTGAATGCCTAAGTGGAAACTAATGTTGACTTTGGGTTAGATTTTATTTGACTGCAGTTACCACAAAACGCCTGAATGTGTCTCATTCATTAAAGTAAAGTTCCCGGCGCTACGAAAAACTTTTTTAAGGTAAATTGATCGCTTGAAACAAACTTTAAGGGCTTTAGTATCGCGTTACAGCAGAATTTAATTAAGAGGAATATTATAATTAAAAACATCGTCTAACAAAGAAGACAATTTTAATTTTATGAAATTGTACACAGTATAATTTTATTAGTTTTTACTTTAAACTCTGTAATAAAAAGAAAAGCTTTTTAAAAGGATCTTAAAGAAATTACTCTTTTTGCTGGCAAAATAATGTACATTAAAAGGTTAACATTAAAGATATTTTTGTAAACAAAATTTAACATTTAAATTTTAATTCCATCTCGTTTTTTTAATTCAAAATTCACTTTTTTTAGATTTTTCATCCAAAAATATTTAGTTTTTTTACAATCCCCTATAATAATAATAATATTAATAAAAATAATGATAATAATAATAATATATATTTATTTTTATGGATATACAATAGATACATATGTATAAGAACTGTTAGTACATAAATGTTATGAAATAAAATATTTTTTTCATAATATTCGTTTATTGTTCAAAATTAAAAATAATCTTACGAATAAAAACAAAATGTGAATAGGTTAGAAATTCTTTAAAGCGTTGATGCACATAATGCTTTCTCCTTTTTGCATTAAAATTTGTGAAGTAATTAAATCCGGACCCAAGGTTTACATTGACGTTGGCACATTTACATTACGGATTATGAGACGGTATGAATATTCCGGGTACACACAAAGCGAATGTTCCTTTAGACACGTAATAAATTAAAAGCACACTATACAAGTCTGTGCTGAAAATGTAGCCGGTCATGAAATTCAATTATCAAACGGCGGATCCACTGCCAAGTGTTGCGTATTTCAGATTGCAATTCCAACAGTTTAAATGTCTGAGCTTTTATATTATATTTTATATTGTATTAAACATATTAAAAATTTACTGCAAATGGGATATAATTTTTAGGGCCATATTGATCAATTCAGATATGAAATGTAATATTATAGTTTTTTATTTATTTTTACTTATAAACAGTAAACAAATATTTATTAATTTTAGGCAAATTTTAACCAGATTTTATGTTAATCCAGGTTCACACAACTTTATGTTAAGTTTACATCCAACTGTAATCCGGGTAACTAATCAATAATTCAACCATAATTCATGTAATTTTCAAAAAGGACCTTATTTTTACAAACCTTTTTGTAGACAGTAACAAAAGTATTTGTTGGGAATTGGGAACATAAATGAAAAGAATTGTTGCTTTTTTAATTAATTTTCTAAACCCTGATTTTATAAAAAAAATTATGTTAAAATTGTACAAAATAAAATTAACAAACAGTGTAAATTAATAAAAATATAATATAATATTTTTGTTTGTATTTATTGTTTTTTTTTATTATGACGTAGTAAAATATCCATTAATTTTTTTATACCAGCAAATACATAAAAGTTTTATTAAATAATAAAATTTTTAGTACGAACCGAAATAATTTGTTATTGCAGTAAACACAGAAAAACCATTTCAATGCGCTTTATTTAAATTACCTTTAAATATGTACAATAAACTGCAACAAAATAAAAGCAATGCAAGAAAAAAGTGCATATATTTTTGGTATTTGCCAATTTATTTTTTATGTTTGCATTAATATTTATCAATATTAACGTGCGAACAAAAAATATATGTTTTATTTTTGGTTTTTATCAGTCCAAATGGGATACAAATTTTAATATGTAAATATTCAGTATCTATGATAATAAAGTAAAATAAAGGGTTTAAAATATTTATTTTAGAGTCCACAAAAACTTATAAATTACGAACTCCACACGCGTACCAAACATTTTACAAGCCTTTGCTTAAAATTTATGTTATACAAGGTTAAAAAAAAATTACCAGGGATAAACCCAAATAATGCAAATATTAGGCTATAGTCACGGTGTGCCTGAACGAAGTTTAAGTCACATAAAAATGCCGCCAAAAACTGATTGCAGTTTGGGACCCTTTGGTGACTTAAAAATGATATTTACCAAAATCCTAGCTGCTCCTCTTTTCGACATTTTTTGAAATTTCATGATTTTTTTTAATTTTTGTTTATTTTAAAGTCTACCTTTAACAGAGTTCACATTTGTACACCAATTTTTATAAAATTAGAGTATAATATTGAGGAGACTTAAAGAATACTTTTTAATACTGTTTACATAATGGCATTCTTATTAACCTTTTATAAAAAAAATAGATTTTTAATAAAATTAAATAAAATTATATTTAAAATGTTGTTCAATTTAGGCTTTTTAGTAGTTTTCAATTTTGAACGAAAAACTGGTTAAAGTTTTTTGATCGGCACTCTTTGGAGATTTAAAAACGATATTTACCAAAATTCTAACTGCTTTTTTTAAACTTGTCAAAAAATCATTTTTTTTTTAATTATTTGTTTATCGCAAAGTCTACCTTTGCCAGAGTACACATTTGTACACCGATTTTTATTGATTGCAGTTTCTTGTTCGGGACCCTTTGGTAACTTTAAAATGATATTTACCAAAATCCTAGCTACTCCTCTTTCCACATTTTTTTAAAATTCCTAATTTTTGTTTAATTTTTGTTTATCTTAAGTTGCAAATAGTGCATAAAAATTACAAAATTTAGTAGTTTTGAGAAAATTAAATATTATTTTTGTTATATGTATTTTAATAAGTTGTTTTTTATTTTTGTTTCATAAAATTTGTCATCAAAAAACATGTCACTTTTAACACGCAAAACTTGACAAAACTAAATTTAAATCCCTATTTATAAAAAAACTAAGCTAAAATAAATGTTTAAAGCACTAGAAGATATTCATTCTTTCAATTTCGTAATATTCTGGCTAATATTAACACAATTTCTGTAAAATTCGTATTAGTGGAGTTTTTGGGTATTTAGTGGTGTTTCTATAAAAGATTAATTAAACTTTCAACAGAATTATAACATTATTGCTAAGAAAAATGTTAAATTTAAAAAAAATGCGACGTTATTGAAATTTAAGTTAAAAATGTCAAACAGCAAAAGCCCAGTCAATAAAAATACACAGTGAAGATCGTAGCTTTTTAAAAGCCAGAGAATTTTAATATTGCAGGATTATACAATCCATTACTTCTGCCATTCGACATAATAAAACAGAAATTTATATTAAAATTCAACATTAACTAAAACGTTTTATCCATAAACATTCGTAATTTCGAAGATTAAAGGCTCACGTTTCGGCTGGTGAAAAGCAAACAGGAAAGGTTGCGTTCGCGGAGGCGAGAGATGACGAAGCAGAAGTGTGTTTACTCACATTTTTAAAGTCGATAAGCTGGGTTACGAGCGTTCCATCAGACCTCTGAAACTCCAAAGTGACTGTATCGTCGCTCACATTTGCCGATATGTTCTCCTGAACCACGTCTCCACCCTGAAACAAAAACACTTTGAAAAATTGCTCGTTCACGGTCCATTTTCAAGGGATACCTTTCTATTTACACACGAAAATTTGACATTTGACATAGATACAAAGTTTTAATTTAAATCATTTTTAGATAATAATAAGAAATATAAGCAACTCGTTTATAAACTTTTCTGGACAATTATTTAACTAAGCTTTTGCTTGCAAGCTCGCTCATGCATAAATTAAATTCGTGTCTTAAATATACTAATATACTATAACCATTAAATATTTTAAATAAAACATTCCAAAGCTTAAGATAATATTGTCCTAAACGTCCAGAGACTACCAATATTGATTGTATTGGCAAAAAATCGTCTGTTTGCCTACTGTTTTATCTAAATTAATCGTTTCAATTAACAGAACAGCTTTAAATCAACAGTCGATCCAGAATTCAACGGAGCGGAGAAAGCCTCTAACCGAGGGCCGATTTTTTAGTCGCCAGGCAACGTCACAGCCAGACAATTAATTAAAGATGTCCGTTACGCGAAGTCAGCGTTTGTTCATTTGATTAAAAACTTTACAAAAATAATGGAAAGCCGCCCGAAAAGAACTTAATTTAATCAACATATAAATGTTTTTTTAGAAATTCTAGATTAAAATTTAATTTAAAAATTCTATATAAAGAAAAATTTATATTTCATATTTTAAATTTAACCATGCATATTTTTGAAGAAATTATATATTTTATGTTATATTTTTTAATTAGTTTTATAAATAATGCCACCTAAATTGAATTTGGCAAAAAAACTGTAAAAAATATCATTGTATAAAGTTATTTTCTCAAAAACTACTAAAACCCCGCAATTTTTTATTTTTACGTCCTATTTCGAATAGTATTTTTTTTTTGAAAATTCAGTGTGTGATATTTTTGATATCCATATTTTTGGTTCATATTTCGCACATTTTCATAAGTCTTATCACTTGTTCTCTCTATTCCTTGTCCAAGGTTTTTGTAATTAAAACAAATTTTTGTGTTACAGACTTGTTTGCTTAAACCCCAATCAACTATATTGTAAAATTTACTTTTATTTTAAGAAAACAATTCTCTAAGGTACTGCAGTCTAACAAAGACCAGGTTGTAAAAACAGTCGAATTTTCAAAACTAAAAAGCTAAGTAGTTTCTAGAACTCAAATAAAAACCAATTACGTTTAACCTTCTTTTGATACCGTTTTATTCTTTATACTGGCAACTCCGTAAGTTAAGTCTTATATTGCCTTAACATATTATCCTTGTTGAGAGAACTTACCAAACTAGTTTTCAACAAACTTTTTTCCCGGAAATGCAGTTAAAAATTTAGGAAATTAAAGCTTTAAAGTTTTTTAATTTGAATGATCACTTTTAAAAGTCATTTAGTTTTCATATAGTAAATTTTGTTTACGAAGTTTTTAGTATTTAAATTGTCATTGTGACTTTTAATTTGAAAATTTTAGTATACATTATTTTGTCTAGGATTAAATGGCTGAGGAAGAGGAAGTTGAAGTTACCAACGAAATACCTGAAACCCATTCAGGACCAATATACAAAAATCTACCTCGTGAACGGAAAAGTTATGATTTTAAACGAGTACAGGTAATGCCTGGTATATCCAGGCATTTTTCCACTGGATATGACCAACCCATAAATTATTGCCAGGCAGTTCCAAAATTACCAGAAGAAAGTAGTTCGGAGTACATACCGATGACGTACACATTTAGAATACCTCAATTTATAGTCACCAAAAAAGTAAAAAACCTAGTAGCAAAATCGCCCCCTTTCAACATACTTTTGGATCATACTATAGGAGTTATATGGTGTTTATTATCACCACAGAGCTATAACACCCCTTGTGGAATATCACAGATACAATGGGCGTATAACTTCCTAAAAACCATAAAGAAAAACGATGGATTTCCTTCCAAAGATATACAAGAGCTACTTAAAATAATGCAGAGGGCTTTAATAGAGTTATATCAAAAAGTTTACGAAGAAGATTATGATAACATAAGTAAAATAAACAAAAATATAAAACAGTACGATGTATTTAGAGAAACATTTGATATTTTGGAATTGCCTTTTTCATTGACTTACAAGGAAATAAATCAAAAAGGTTCTGAAATAATTGAGGACATTAGAGCCAATCGTCGTCCCGTTTTATCATTTGAAGAATTGAATAAATCAATTTTTGAAGTAGTGGATGAGTTACAAAATAATGATGATTGTAAAATAAAACGTGCTTTAGCGACACAGTTTGTTTATTATAAAGAAGAAATGGCAAATATATGCAAGGATCACTTGGAGAATTTAAGAGACCTGGAAATGTGTTTATTGGAAATGTTTCCATGTTTATTCGCTAAGAAAAACGTAATTTGTTGAAGTATAAGTCTATTGTTATTTGATAAATAAAAATTAAATTTCTACTTGTCATTTCATTTTGTCAATCATTTTCAAACATGTCATTAACAAATAGGTCCAAATTCTAGTGCAAAAAAACATAAAAAACCCAAATATGGCAGATGATGAGCCCGAAGAGCAAACCGAAGTGGAAACCAAGGATAAGGCAGAGGAGGCAAAAACCGAATCGGCAATAATTTATAAAAAAGAGACTAGAGAAAGAAAAAGCTATGGCGTGAGCAGGGTCCAGGTTATGCCTGGACTTGCCGCAGATTATTCTACATCATACGATGAAGAAATAAATTATACACCATTTGTGCCGACTTTATCAGAAGACATATTTATTTATATACCCATGACGTATGTGTTCAGAATTCCACAGTTCAATGTGAAAAAAAAAGTTAAGAATCTAAATGCTAAATCACCTCCATTTCATATTTTATTTGACCACTGTGTAGCAGTTATGTGGGTTTTACTGAGCGATGGAAGCTTCGAGTGTCCAATGGGCATATCGCAGTTACAATGGGCTTACAACTTCCTTAAAACTATAAGACTGAGCAATGGACTGCATTCAGATGATACAAGGATTATGCTGCAAACAATTTCGGAACTCTTAAGAAAAGCATACGCCATGTTAAGTCCCGAACTTAACACCATTGAAAACGCGAACAAAAACATTAACTATTACGATGTGTTTGGCACGGTGGAAGACATAGAGAAGAAACCGATATCGGTGAGCTACGAGGAAATGAAAAAACGCGGCGACGATGTCATAACTGTGAATCGAGCTACTGCAGAACCACCTCTTAGTGAGGAAGAGTTGAGGCAGAAGATCGATCAATTAATTGAAGACATGGAGGACTTTGAGCATTTGGAGCAAGAAAGGAGGGAAAAATTGATTAAGGACTTCATCAAATACAAGGATCAAATACAGAAACGCTGTGAGGAACAAATGGAGACACTGTTAGCCATTCAGAGCATCATGAAGGAAGTTAGTCCTGAATTGTTCCCCGAAGATCCTCCTAATCCTTGCAAAATGGAGGAAGAGAACTAAATGATGTAAAATTTTAATTGCATTTACTTTCTAAACTTTGTCTCATTTGCTTTTATGTATTTTATTTCTCGCAAACAAATAAAAACAGTTGAATTTACTTATACTTTTAATTCCATTGTTTGATAATAAGAAATGTAATGGAAAGGATAGGAACAAAAATAAATGATGTCATATTAGCTACCATGTATTTTCTTCCTTGCAAACCAATAAAACAGTTAAATTTGAATACATTTTTTTAAACCAAGAAATACGGTCCAAGTTTTAATAAACAATGTATTCTAGTTATCAACCTCAATACACAGCTGGTGAAATATAACAATTATAACATTTCAAGCATTAAATTGTCAACACTGCAGGTGGTAAATTAAGGTCGATTTACACAACAAAATTTCGAATAATGAATTAGGGCAGTTTTAGATTAAATTTAATTAGAAATGTCACCGTTCAACCATCATCATCATGACACGCATTAGTGAGGAAGAATTAAGATCCAAAATTGATAAATTAATAGAAGGTATGGAAGATTTTGAACACTTGGCGAAAGATAAAAGAAAAATATTAATTAAGGATGTTATAAAATACAAGGAAGAAATTCGAAAACGATGTCAAGAAAAAAAGAATACATTGCTAGCCATGCAGAACGCTATAAAAGAAGTAAGCCCTGAACTGTTCCCCGAAGATCCTTGCAAATAGAAATAATATTATTCATCATAAAAAATCTTTAATTTCCTTTCGTGTTTTATATTTCTTGCAAACTAATAAAAACGGTAATAAAAAGTCCCTAATCCCTTTAATTTCCTTGTTTAAGTAAAAACCGTTTAAATCAGATTAAGAGAACCTACGAAAATTTAAATTTAACGCTCCAAACAAATAAAATTAGATTGCGATCTCACTTCCAATGTAAATTAGCACAATAGATAAGGGCTTTAAGGTTGACTATGCATTTAACATTTTATATCAATAAATTCTTAAAATACAATGAGAATTTTCAGATAGGCCTGAATTAATTTAAATATTGCTTCAACAGTTTTGAGTTATCTTGTTTATCAATTGTAACATAATGGATTTCTGAACACAAAGAAGACAAATATTTTTGTCGGAAATCCAATTAAATTAAAATTTAACTTATTTGTTTGCAGTGACGGAATGTAGTGTCTATTTTAATTGAATTGGTTTCCACGCTTGCTTTAAGTATATTTATTTATCTACCAATCTAGCAGTTGGCAAACTTTAAATTAAAAAGCTTTCAAAACTAAAAGGCTTTTAGATTTAAAATCATATAATTAATGTACTATGGTCCACACCGCGTGCCTTCAGGTTCATTGTCTGTCAGTTTTAAGCTAATTTCACTGTTTTCTAAAAAGAATGCAATATATTAATTTTGACTTTTTTCTTTATAATCTGTGCTCTTTTTTATCAGTCCCACTTTAACATTTGAATACAAATAATTAAGGTTATTTATCTGTCTGTTTAACAAAAATTTCCACCTTGAAAGTGAATGATCTACAGACCCCCTAGAATCCCAAAAAATTGAATTTTTACTTATAAGTAAAAATACAATTTTTTGCTATTGCTATAGCAGACTTCTGTGACACCCTGTATAATATTATGTTTACACGCAAAGTGCTAAATTACCTGCCTTCTCAGCGGGAGGGAAGTGACCAATTAACAGAGACTGACGTCAGCGGAAATATTGTGACGTCAGGAGGAAATGCAAAACAATAACCCCCCAATTAAAAATGCAAACTACAAGGTTTTGACGTTAATGAAATGTTTAAAATCAAACAATTTTTAAAAAAACCTCACAGGTTACTTTGACAAAAGCAATGCATATTTTTATTACACCAATGAGTAGTGCCAGGAACTATAGTGAGTAATATTCTTGCCGAGGTGGTAACCCTATCTGCGCATTAAATATTATTTCCAGTGTATTACTGTTCTGCCCGTCAATGGGTACTGTTTTATTTTCTCAGTGTAGACTAACGTTATGTATGGCGCTCACGCAAATTTTTATTACTTTTGTGTTATGATAATAACACAAAAAGTAATAAATAAAGTACTATAATTGTTTATAATCGTTTATAGTTTTCCGGAGAACGTTGAAAAATCAAAAATTACTGTATTACATAACTAAATTTTTTGCAAATTTTTTTTAAATTTCAAAGTCTACCTTTAACAGAGTACACATTTGTACACTGATTTTTATAAAATTAGAGTATATTATTTAGGAGACTTAATACTTTTTAATACTGTTCACATCATTTAATACATACAGGGTGAACGAAAAATCGCTTATTTTTAATAAAGCAAAAGCGTAAATTCATGATTTTGGCATAACACGCAAAAAAGATTTATCCCCATTTTTTTTAGATATTTCTACGTTTATCAGGTTACAAAATGGCATTCTTATTAACCTTTTAAAAAAATTAAATAAAATACCGCTTAGAGAATATTTAAAATGTTGTTTAATTTAGGCTTTTTAGTATAATTTTTTTTAATTTTTGTTAATCTTACCTTTGACAGAGTACATTAGATTTATACCGGGTTAGCCAAAAAATCTTTTTTTTATATAGTAAAAAGCATAATGCACAATAAAGATTTATCTCCAAAAAATATTATTATATTTAATTTTATTCAAAATCAATTTTTCTTATAAAGTCTTAATAAAAGTCGCATTTTGTAGCCTGATAAACATAAAAATATCTAACAAAATATGGGTGTATATCTTTTTTGCATGTTATGCCAAAATCATAACAAGGAGTAAATATAGTTAGCTTTAAATTAGTTTAACTTTCAAACGAACGAATGCCGAAATAAAGCTACTTTAATGGTCTTTTGAAAGTGAGGTTAGAACTGTCTGACAGATGTAGGATTTAATTTTGGAAAATTATTAATTTTTTATTATTTTAAATTGGCCGTAAAAAAGTATAGTATAAAATGCAACTTGTTTTATAAACTTATCTAGATACTCGCTTAGTAAACTTTGTTATTGTTTCCTTGGCTTCTGAATCAAGTAACTAAAATTAAGTTTTAAAAAAGAAACCAGTTAATACTTTTGCCAGTCTGATACAGACAATCTTTTGTGGATTTTGCAAGTTTTCCGAAGTTTCTCGTTAAAAAATAACGTATAAAGAAAAAGTAAGATGGTATCTCACCTATTCCACGTTGCGAACGTGGCTTTATCGAATGGTCTCGAAATTCAAACTGAATCAAAGAACGGGATGAGTAAATTCGGAGGATCAAAGTAACCCGGCTAAGACGTAAATCTCCTACATCTAAATCCGTGCGGGGCGTCAAAAACGTCACTCGTAGGCGTCGAGGCGAATCTCGCAAATAAAACTATTTTTCAACCGCGCGCGCGAGCTTTTATTTTCAACCTTTTTATGCTTTTTGTGTGTTCGGGCGCCCGAGCTTTCTTTTTAGACAGACCCCGCGTTTCGTATTGTTTGCCAAGATAGAGGAGCCCGATAAACACACAAAGCAAAGACAAACAAGTTTTGTCTTTATCAAAAGGATTAAATATTGACTTTACCCAAATAAAAATATTTTCAAGATTTTTACTGAAAACACAATAAAGTAATGTTTACAAAGGCTAACGATAACTTATATATATATAGATATTAGGGTGTCCCAAAAGAAAAAGAATATTTTTTTTCTTCTCGTCTCTTGTGAAAATATGTTGGTTTGTCATGTTTTAAGAGCCCTGTCAAAAGATCAGCACCATTAAAAAAATTTTAGGGGTCGCTCAAGATTTTTAAAAATTACCAAAATCGTCAAATATTGGATTTTTTTTTATTTTAATTTTTTTTCTCTTTCCGATATTATTTTTTAATTTAAAAATAATAATGATTCTGAAAATTTCAAATCGATATTTTAATTTCTAAAGGTCGCTCAAGATTTTTTTAACTTTCAAAGTAGAGTATTTTGAATGTTTTCGAGCGACCTCTGAATATAAATATCAACGAACTTTTAGCGACCTTTATAAATCAAAATATTAATTTGAAATTTACAGAATTTTTATTATTTTCAACCTAAAAAATAATATCGAGACGAGAAAAAGAATTAAAATAAAACAAAAATTCAATTTTTGACCATTTTGAAAATTTTTAAAAATCTTGAGCGACCCCTACAAAATTTTTAATCGAGCTGATATTTTGAAAGGGCTCTCACAGCATGATAAACTAACAGATTTTTACAAGAGACAAGAAAAAAAATATATTCTTTTTTTTTGGGACACCCTAATAGATATATAATATCCGCTTATATTTAGTTTACATCTAGATTCGTTAAACAGTTTGGTAGGCCATAACCCTAAAATCGTGCACCTTTCTTTAGAATAAACAAGGTTTACCTACACAGTAAAAAAATAATTGTAAAAATTAAAATTTATGCAATAGTAGTAGAAGAGTGTTTTAAAGCTAGTCTAGCAAAGTTCTTTGCTTATTTTTAATTAGGATACCCACTTAAAACAGTTTGGCTTTTCATCTTAAAAGCACTCCATAAAGCTTTCACTAAAGAACATTAATTAATAAACGCCACAAAAATAACTAAACTTGGCGATAAAATTTAATGTATAATAAAAAGAAATTTCCAGCGCGAACAAGCACTTTTATTTAAGTCCTTGCTGATAAGAACTCGAATTTATGTCGGAGACGATTTATAAATAAACATTTAATAGCATTAGTGAAACATTCTGTCCAAATAGAAAATACAAAAAAAACATTAAGATAAGTTGTCGAAATGATTCAAGGGTAAGTTGTAAGGACATAAATATAAAGGATAATAAGAAAAATGTTAATGGAAGTATACAGGGTTTTCTTAAGTTAATAGTTCCATTCCCATACAAATTTACAAACCATTCCTATAAAAATTTTAATTTGTCAAAATTGAAAAATAATAAGTAGATAATTTTTAAGAATATTTAAATAAAATCTGACATCTGTCAAATCGTTAACCTCACTTTAAAAAAAATTATTGTTCATGTTAATTTTGGTTATTATAGTCGCCTTCTCCCAATTTAAAACCCGATTGGTTAAATCACAATGAATATTGAAATCGGACAATCACTAAGGAGAA